AACTGCAGATGCTGGAGAATCCGAGACAACAAGGTGCAGAGCTGGTGCTGGTGCAAGGTGCTAGACCCAAGGGTCTAGGCCCGAAACGTCAGCCTTCCTGCTCCTATGATCCTGCTTGGCCTGCTGTGTTCATCTAGCTCTACACCTTGTTATCTCAGATTTTCCAGCATCTGCAGTTCTTACTATCTCTCATGTGAGAACCATTACTGTTTTGCTGAATTGCATTTTTGCCAAAGAGTGTGTTTATGGGATGCTGTCTATATTGGAACAGTCGATGATTAGTGGTTAAATAATACATTATCTTGTTAAATATTTGTACGAAGTTTTGTCAACTTTTTTTTGTATTTTAACTGTTGTAAGAATAAAATGTGTTTTGATTAAAGCAGAGCGGTGGACTAATTGAATTGTACAGGTATTTCTCTTATAACGCGATAGTTGCGTTATTGTGTGATCTTGCACTGTAGAAAATCCCACTATAGAAAATCACCATAGAAAATCGCATTATAGAGAAATTGCTATTGAAAATCGCTAAACCTGTACAGCAGAAAGTTTGCATTATCCAAACAGCGTCCACTATTCATCAATCACATTACAGACAATTCGCATTAACAAAACATGCACTACAGCAGAAATACCAGTATCTGGGACACAACACCATACACTTGCCTTTAAAAAAATACAAAAGTTAGGGTCTAGGCTATCTCCTTACAATACTTTGGAGGGGGGATCTGGTCTGGTCCATAACAATTGCATCTTACAGGTCGAACACATTTATGGAGGGTATGTATGTTTGGGAGATGGTGCTAAACAAGCAGGCTGCTTTGACTTGAATGCTGTCATATTTTGTGAGTACTGTTGGAGCTGTATTCATCCAGATGTGTATTTCATGATACCCCTGACTTGAGCCTTGGAGCTGTTGGAGAGGCTTTGGGGAGTCAGGAAGTGAGTTAATTGCTGCACAATCCCACATTTCTCTCTTGCTCTTGTAGCCACAATATTTATAGGAAAACATACAAAATAGGAACAGGAGTAGGCCATTTGGCACTTTAAGCCAGCTCAGCCATTCAATATGATTTGATTTGATTTATTATTGTATCTGTGCCAAGATACAGTGAAAGTATTGTCTTGTGTGCTAACCAGGCAAATCATACCTTACGTAAGTACCATAGGGTAATAGAACGCAGTACCAAGTGTTACAGGTACAGAGAAGGTGCAGAGAAAGATCAACTCTAATATATGAGAAGTCTCTCCATAAATCTGAAAATAGCAAGGAAGAAGCTGTTCTTAAATGAGTTGGTACGTGTTTTCAAACTTTTGAATCTCTTGTCCACTGGAAGAGAGTGTAAGCAGGGTGGGAGGAGTCTTGGATTATGTTGGGAGCTTTCTTAAGGCAGCGGAAAGTGTAGACAGAGTCAATGGAAGGAAGGAGACAATAAAACAGATGCTGAAATCCAAGGTAGACAAACAGGAGGCTGGAAGAACATCACAAGCCAGGCAGCAGACAAACAGGAGGCTGGAACAACACATCAAGCCAGGCAGCAATGTAAGGAAAGCTGGTTTTTGTGATGACTGGGCTACATTCACAACTCTAATTTCTTACGGTCTTGAGAAGAGCAGTTGTCAAACCAAGCTCCGATACATGCAGATAGGATGCTTTCTATTGTGCATCTGTAAAAATTAGAATCATATAGCTTTGATGCAACTCGTCCACGCTGACTGGATATCCTAATCTGACTTAGTCCCATTTGCCAGCATTTGGCTCATATCCCTCTAAACCCTTCCTATTTATCCAACCATCCAGATGCATTTTAAATGTTGCAATTGGACCTGTCTCCAACACCTCCACTGGCAATTCATTCCATACGTGCACCAGACTCTGTGGAAAAAGTTACCTCTCAGGCCCTTTTTAAATTTTTCTTCTCTCACCTTAAATCTATGTCCTCTAGTTTTAGACTCCCCCACACTAGGTAAAGTCCTTAGCTATTCACCCTATTCATGCCCTTCATGATTTTATAAATCTTTAGGAGGTCACTCCTCAGCCTTGGATGCTCCAGAGAAAAAAGCCCCAGTCCATTCAGCCTATCCCTATAACTCAAACTCTCCAGTCCTGGCAACACCCCTTGTAAATCTTCTTTAGGTCCTCTCAGGTTTAACAACATCCTTCCTGTAGAAGGGTGATCAGAATTGTATGTAGTATTCTAAAAGTGGCCTCACTGATGTCCTGTACAGCCACCACATGATGTCCCAACTCCTACACTCAATCGTCTGACCAATGAAGGCAAGTGTGCCAAATGCCCTCTTCACCACCCTGTCTACTATCAACTCCACTTTCAAGGAACTTTGAACCTGCACCCCTAGGTTTCTATTCAGCAACAATCCCCAGGACCCTACCATTAACTGTATGTCCTGCCCTGGTTTGCCTTGCCAAAATGCAACACGTCTCATTTATCTAAATTAAACTCCATTTGCCATCCTCAGCTCATTGGCCCATCTGATCAAAATCCTGTTGTACTCTGAGATAGTCTTCTTCATGACCCGCTATACCACCTATTTTGGTGTCACCTGCAAACTTATTAACCATATCTCCTATATTCACATAACAGTCATTATGGACATGCTGAATTTCCTTAACCTTCTGAGGAAGTAGAGGCGTTGGTGTGCTTTCCTGACTGTAGCATCAACATGGATTGACCAGGATACATTGTAAGTGGAGTTAGAGCTAAATTTGGCCACATAGTCATGAGTGTATAAGGACTACAGTAAGGGGCTGAGTATGCAGCCTTGCGGGGCACTGGTATTGAGGATTAGTGTGGAGGAGGTGTTGTTGCCAATCCTTACTGGTTGCGGTTTGCAGGTCAGGAAGTCAAGGTTCTAGTTGTAGAGACGAGAGCAGAGTTCTAGGTCTCGGAGTTTGGAGATGGGTTTTGTTGGAATCATAGTTTTGAAGGCAGAGATAAAGTCCATAAATAGGATAAATCATAAAATCATAAAATCCTTACAGTATGGAAGCAGAACATTCAGCCCATCAAGCCCACACTGACCCTCCAAAGAGCATCCCGCCCAACCCACCCCATCCCTGTAACTCTGCATTGCCCATGGCTAATCCACCTAACTTGCACATCTTTGGACTGTGGGAGGAAACCGGAGCACCCGAAGGAAACTCATGCAGACACAGGGAGAACGTCTGTATGAAGTTGAACCCAATTCCTTGGCATTGTGAGGCAGCAGTGCTATCCACTGAGACACCTGCCACCCTGTTATCCAGTTATCCAGATCCATGGAGATGGCACTTGCTGTGGACCTATTGTGATGGTAGGTGAATTGTAGCGGATCAATGCAATCTGGGAGGCTGGAGTTGATGTCTGCCATTACTAACCAGGTGTTAGTCATTAAGGCATGTTGCCTGATTTTTCTTTCTAGAATGATAGTGGTCTTCTTGAAGCAGATGGGAGACTCACATCCCAGTAAGGAGAGGTTAAAGATGTCTGCAAATACTCCCACCATCTAGTCCATGCAGGATCTGAGTGCATGGCCGGGCACTCAATCCTGGCCAGCTGCGTTCCATGGGTTCACCCACAAGAAGGCCAATCTGATGTCTGTGGTTGTGACTGTGGGTACAGTTGCACCCAAAGCTGTCAAGGGCGGTGACATCATTTCACTGAACCTCTGATCATAATGAGCATAGAATGCATTGAGCTCATCAGAGAGGGTTGTCTTGTTGTCAGCAATTCTACTCAACTTCGCTTTGTAGGCCATTACATTGTGCTAGTCTTGCCACAGTCGACATGTGTTCATGTGGTTAATCTTGGACTCTAGTTTAGTCTGTTATTGTCTCTTGAAGTCCCTGATGGCTTTACAAAGATTGTACCTAGATTTCTTTTATAGGTCAGGGTCACCTGACTTGAACACTTCTGACCTAGACTAGGTCTTCTGGCTCATTCATAGTTCCAGTTGGGGAACACTGGGACTGATGTTTTTGTCATGCAGTCATCTACACGCTTACTAATGAAGTCTGTGATGATCATGGCATACTTATTCAATAGCTGATATTCCAATTCAGTACCCTGTTCTGACCCATACCCTTTGATCCCTTTAGCCCTAAGGACTATAACTGACTCCTTCTTGAAAACATTCCCTTTTTTTGGCCTTTTCATTCTCCAGGGAAAGAAATTTCTCCTCACCTCGGTCCAAAATAGCCTATCAAGTAACCCCTGGTTTTGGACTCCCTGGTCAGCGGGAATATCGTTCATGCATCAACCCTATCTATCTGTGTTAAAATTTATAGGCTTCTATGAGATTACCCTTCAGTCTACCAAACTCCAGTGAATATAGCCCTAAGTAATCTATTCTCCCTTCATAGATGGGGCAAACAGGTCACCACAAAGCTATCCAATGAATCAGTCTGATAAATCTTCATTGCACACCCTCCATAGTCAAAACATCCTTCCTTAGATAAAGAGACCAAAACTGCACACAATACTGTCTCAATACAAGTCTCAACAGTGCGCTATACAATTGCAGTAAGACATCCTTG